ATTCCTTTCGCAAACTTAAGTACCCGGAAAAAAAAAATCTATTCCCGCTCACAATACACAAAAACGCCATTGGTGAAAAGGGAAGCAACCCCCATTAGCGTAGCTGTATAAGTCGGGAAGGACCATAGAAGACAATGCAGCAGCTCCTTCGAGCACAACGTAGAATCCTGAGTGATTTCACATCAGTGCTGCGAGCGAAGACAATGGCAGCTTCAATAGGGCACAAACTATAGAGCACCTTCAAAGGGAAAGTGCAATACAGTTCACTTAGCATTTCAATGAATCTCTAATGAGCCAGAGTTCAGGCTGGGGAAAAAAAGCCCAGCGGTCCAATGTGAAAAGACTGAAGACGACTGTTAAAGATGGAGCAATGAGTCAGTCAGTCCCACTCCATCACAGTCTTTTGTTCTTTTTATCAACCTGAGCGACTCGTGTTAGATTTAAAGTGAGTGACCGGCGGCATTACATTACCCTGCGTCACGTTAGAGACCCACTCGTTTAACAAAAGTATAACGGAACTACAAAGGGCAAGGGTGTTTGCTTCACATTAACCGTTTCCCAATCTGCAAATAAAAAAAACTTCCCCGGTGGAAGACAGGGACACAGAAATGTGTGATTTAAAACTCTCACCTCTGACCTTTAGCCGTTCTTTATGACTCGAGGTGCAGCCTTGCGTCGTGTCCTCAAGACATCCTGTGACCTCACCATGAACTCTGTTAAGTTTTATTGCATCTGTAGCTCCATAACTCAGAAATGAAGAGCGATATCTTAAGTACTGAAACTGAAGGGAACAAAGGGCTTTTATTTTAGCTTTCTGACTGCTTTTAAATGTTTTTTGCAACTTAGGAATATGGACAAATATATATCATACAGTGTAGATAGTGAAGATACGATTTTAATGTCTGCTCAAGGGAAGTAGGTAATTGATTGCCAGTAATTAGTCCTTGAAAACTGACAGGATGGCCATCCACACTGCTTCCAACCACTTATATCAAATAGTAAATTTAAAAAAGCATTGTTGATCAGAATAGAATTTGAACATGTTATGCTTCGAGGTGTGTTCACTGCATGTTGTCATCAAAGTGAAGATAAATACACGGGTGTGGTAATCTTGGCTTAAAATGCAAAACCTCTGAGACAAGTACATTCAAACCTAAACATTCTTCCGCATGAAGCTTTGAGGGTTTAATTAAAGATCGGCACTAAACCTGCCACAAGCTTCGGACTGATCCGAGGATGAGACGCTGATGAAACTGTGGTTTAGAAAAACAAAAAGCTGTGTGTAAATGAGCACTTCAGAGACAGGAAACGTGTGAAGAGGTGCTAATGGAAAGAGTGGGACTCCAGTTACAATAGACGGTACTCGGAGAATGTGCGCTCATGTCAGCACATGCACGGCGTTGCTGCTGTACCAGCTGAGGTGCAGCTGTGTTTGGAGTCGGCTCTTGTGTCCGACTCGGATGTGGCGTTGGGCATGAAAGCGCAACGCTACCCCAGCTGAAGTGCATTTTGAGAAGACGAGTGTGTGAGTGCATTTCCCAGATGATTTATTTTATCCTTTTTGTAATTTAACAGATATCACACTGGCGTTCAGATGTTCTTTCAAGAAGATGCCAGATTTGATTAGATTCGAATATATTCGATTCATTGGCAGCAAACTAACTGAAATCAGAAGTAAAGGCAAATACATATAAAGATAAATATCATTAGATGATGTTCTATTCTACGTACAACCTGGATGACCCTTTATCTTCATACTTGGGTTACATTAATGCAAATCATTCACCACCATCTCTTTTCCACCACAATTATTTGACATCTCTGGGTTTAAACACGGATAAAACCGCTAAAAAAAAAGGGCAATTTCTCACCGTTACCCAAATTACTGCATTCACCGTGTTTCACCGGTGCCAATCAGAGCCGATAAAAACGCATGTGTACTGCAGAGTCGTTTGACCCGGGAGTGGATGGTGATTGCATCCAGTCCCATTGCAGACAAAAGCCAGATGTTAGTGGCTTTTTTTTTGACCAGTGGCCTTTGGTATTGCAAAAAACTCTGCAATGGACATTTAAGTGTAGCACATAAGGATGTTCCTCTTCAGCTCAAACCAAGCCACAGGGGGAATTGAAACCAGCAGTGGGCTGACTCGGATTGCTGGGGGACAAAAGCACAAGTAGAATGGAATATTTTCAGCATCTGCATCCAGTGAAACTAAAGTAACAATGGAGAAAATTAAAAATAGTTAGAGGAAGCTCAACAAATGCTGGTCTTGTTTGGATGAATGCATTGAGAAAAAAAGATGTTAAATGCAAGAACGAAAGAAAGTGGGTTTTGGGAGTCGATCTCAGCTCTGACTAAACAGCTGATGTGAGGAACAGAGTCAGGTTCAGAGTCTTCACCTCTCTGACCTCGATACCAACCCGAGTCACACCTCACTGCAGAGTCAACAAACGCCGGCCTGCGCTCCATATGCCTGAGGAAGCGGGCGAGCCACTTCACTCCAGCATTGTCTCAGGAGCCAGGATGGCCTCTCCCCTGGGGCTATAACTCAACAATGCACTGTTTACCAGAGCCGGTCTTCAAGCAATTATGTGAATGGGTACGAATGGAAAAGACCTTCCCCGCTGTTCAAACTGTGGAGTGGAGTTGGTGTTTGCACTGCTGTGCTTTGCAACTCCATAGATTCCTCATCGACTCTGAATGGAAATTAAAGACCAGGTAGCCGCGTGTGAAACCACAAGGCAGCAAACAGGGACCAACCGCCGCCCCGAGCCGATTACACAGCGGAAAATAAATAACTAAATCATCAGATCAAAGAAGGGCTGCATCATTTTTAGCCCGAGGATGATGGGACTGAATTACTCACAGCAGAGATGAAGTTTACACAAATGACACACGCTCGGCAGACTATATAGTCACAGGAATCCAGGCCGCCCTTCCCCCAACCCCAGTCCAACCCCCCCAATGAAGTCAAGGGACACTTGTGACAGTCTATACTGGGAGAGATCTCTCTCTCTCCGAGCCAAAAACTGTCAGCAGTCATGCTCACGGTGGGTCTGATGTCACACAGCAGAAAACAAAGTGGCCTCCATCACACTTTTATTAGAGCAGAAGTCCGTCAGTCCATTTTCACTTGCATGACAACAACTCTAGAGTGCGACAGAATCCGGAGGAGCCTGAATATTAAACTCTAATTTTCTCACACCGGTGCTGCGGGCGGCTCACAGCAGGACGAGGGTGCTCATTCGTGATGGAGAGCTCTAACCCATCGAGAGTTTTTATTGACTTTGATTGTTTGAGTTGATGTGCATGACCCTGACATTCCAGCAGGGATAAAGGACGGCCCGTAGTAACACCAGTACTCCAGCTTAATTGAATCAAGGGACAGTGCACCCGCTGTGGTTCAAAGTCATAATGCAAGAAACAGATGCTTGTGGTTCCACATAATTCAATTATGTTGGTATTGTCGGCCTGGTGGTCGACCTGAGCTGTGGTGAGAAGTGTAGAGGCCGTCTCCTGTTACCGTCCAGTGTCAGCACACAACACATGATAATAACCCTTCGTAGGAAGATGGAGACTTTACACGGATTGATGAAGGTGGAGAAATTTAAGTTCTCCCTCGACTTTGTACACAGACACAGAGCGATAGATCTCGTCATCCACGGGAGCAGGCGAGGTGTTCGATACGATGTTAGATATACCTTGAAGTCATGAAAAGTGGAACGCTATAACTTTTCAAATGTCACGCGTATCACTGCTCATATATATTCTGGATCCAGCAGGTGAGGGATTTATGTGTGCCAGGGCCACCTCAGGTATGTCCCCATCATTCAAGAGGGGCCCTTTGCTTCAGATCATATCAACGCACAGCGGTCACAAATAGGCTACCTCGAGCGTGACAGCTCTGTTTATTGGAGGGCATAAAGGTGAGAGACCAGACGGGGTTTCTACAGGAGGTGGTGTTGCGGTGGCGGGCGGGTGGGGGTCTATTCTCAGCAGCCACGTCATGGTCATCATACCACAGATATAGCAAAGTGAAGACTTATTTCAGACTCAAACACCATGAATAAGAAACCAAACATGTGCATGAGGAAGAGCTGGAGTTCAAACAAATAACTGACCATCAATTCAATCAATACAGTCATTCATCAAACAAAAATCCTAAATACGAATAAGCTGCTTTTCTCTTGTGTTCACTTTGAATTTTATATGTTTTGGAGCAAGTTTTTGGACAAATTGAACAATTTGAAAGACATAAGAACATTTACAGATGAAAGATCAAGCAAATAATTAAATAAAATAATCAATTACGAAAAAGAGAACTGTTAGATGCAGCTACATAACTGAAAGCTGAATTCATTTCCAAAATGCCTCCCACCTGCAGTGGAGCCTGGACAAGTGGATTCAACATTTCAACCCCAATTTTTATTTTGAAGGATTCCAGGTTTTCCAGGTCAAATTTATGATTAAGCATCAAACAGAAAAAAACCTAAATGTAAAGGTTCACAGGTTCAAGCATATTTCCATCTATTCTGATAACAGCCATAAAGATAAGTTCCACACACACACACAGAGAAGTCAGGGCCAAAGTGGAGTCTGGATTTGAGAAGGTTTAGGAGCCGAGGACTCCAGAGAGACTATGAATAGCTTGTTTCTATGGACAAACTTAGCCCAGCTTCACTCAACAGTAGCTTCTAGTTTGTCACATTACTTTTTAAAGCATCTTTACGGTACATGCTGATATGACTGGGTGCACAGGAATCTGCTCCACAGCCCACCTGCATGTGAGGAGCCCTGCACCAGCAGCACATCAGTCTATTTACTGAACAGAAATAGAAGCATCAACACATATCCTCCTTTCTCTGCCTTTAATAGGACATGAAGACACTGGTTTGTGACTGTGACTTCACCTACGTTGGGGGGTGAATGGTTTTATGGGTCAGTGGTTTGGGTGAAGGAAACCTAAAATGGAGAAAAGGTAAAGTTTGAGGTGACTTACAGTAACCAGCTGGCATGAGAGTATCAAGGAGAGGATAAGTCCAAAGATCTTGGTGGTCGGAGTGCCCATTTTCCACCAACCCAGCTCAGGCTGCAAATGCTGGGGGAAAGTGAAGAGAAAAAACCCCGAGGTCCTGCTCTCTTCCTGGCCACTGAAGTGTCGGTGTGTTGCCCTGCACCTTTTTCTCAGACTTCTCTTCTCTGTGCGTCCCACAGCCGGTGGGACCTCATCAACAGGTAAATAAAGAGGATCCTTTTTACGCACGACGCAGCGCAAAAACACGGAGGTGCTCCAGGCTTCTCGCTCCTCCACCCCCCGTGCACTCCGAAACTTATTGGGATTTGGTTGTGGAGCTAAATGCAAAGTCACTAGGAAGTCCTGTGCAGAGAGAGAGGGGGAGAAAGAGAGGGAGAGAGAGAGAGAGAGGGCTGCGAGGGGGGAAAGAAAGTAAAAGGCGGAGTGGAATTCAGGGAGTGCAGAAAGCGAAGACTGTGCGCGGAGACGCCGCCTAGTTGACCACACATGTGTCCACCCCGAGAATAAACTGTCCTAGTGCAAATATATTGTCCCCACATGCACGTTTGAGTCTATCTGTGGTGTTAAATACTGGATTTATTGCAGCAGAGATTCAAAGTACTGATGAATGCGATTTAAAAAGTAAAAGTACAGAAATATTTCTCAGATGTGATTCATGTATTTTGTGCTCTTGTTGTTAAAGTTCACTTAAACTTTGCTTTGGCTTTTTCTTACTTGCATACATTGATTTTTATTTTATTTCAATGTTCAAAATGATAAAAATTATCATTATTATCAATTAAAAGTATCAACAGAGGGTTAAAAGGTGAAGCCATTCTCTCTCTCTGTCCTTTATAATATTTCTATAATATTCCCATTATATTTATTTTAGATATCGTTTATGCATCTTTTAATTGTATATATGATGTCAACAAATGTATTAGTTATATATGAACCCTGATTTTTATGAAGTGCAAAACTTCAGTCCTGCCTCTCAGAGATGTTTTTACTTTACTGTGATTGGGTAATAAACCTGCTCCGTGTATTGAACTTCTTGTTCCCTGAGGTCACACATTTTTCACAGTAGTTAAACTCTCTGAAACTAATTCCTCTCTGTCAGCATTTCACTGAATAAATGAATGGTAATAGCACGTGCTGATATAAAACTAGTGATCACTAAGAGATTGAGACTGTTCGTGTCTTGGTGGATAAATTGAACTACTGTTGCAAACCTGATTAAAATACACGTCTCAAGGTAAACACAACATACTTGAGCAGTCAACGCCCTCTACTGGCGTTAGAGGAGGCTGCACACCAGAGACTAAAGGGACTTCTCCATGAAGTGGATAGAAAGGGTCAACTCAAACACCAAGTAAAACACAGAGACATATTTAATTACCCTGTGTCCCATCGATTGAGGTACATCCTATATTTAAACACAGCAAGCACATGTCAGGACTGAATGAGTGAAGTCAGCGGTAGTGTGGGGGGGCCGTGTGTAAATAACGTACTGTACCACTCAGAGGTTGGAGAGAGCAGCTGTTGCCAATTAAAAGCTGAACCCTGAATAGGAATGGAAAGGAGCTGCTCTCATTAACTCTCCAAAATAGTCCCAGAATGGAAGATGAGCAGAATGGGCTTATCTGTATCCGGTGAATGCAACACTTGTGAGGTCTTTACAATCCAATAATAAACACACAGAACCCTTCACAGTGTAAGAGACATGAAAGATGCTAAACTTGGAGTCCAGCTTCTGAATTCACTGTGGTGACTCAAGGAGAGAAGGATGAACTTTCCTCCTGGAGCAGATGAAAGTGGAAACAACCCTCACACACGTCATTCTGCACAGTGAAGCTCAAACACAAGTGAGAAAATACACCTGTGAGTTGAAATGTAACCTTGAATTCATTCGTAATTCAATGAGCCATGTTAAAATCCGATGCCAAAACAAACTGCTTAACAATTGTTGAGTCCATGAACGGCCAAGTGCACTTAGGGAAACTTTTTGAATTGTACACACGCAAGCACTGACAAGGGATCACAAACAAAAAAAGAAACACATTATTGCTCATGCTTCATTTGCTTCATCTCACTTTTAAACACAAGCTCTGGATACAAGAGACGGATCATTTCTGTTTTTGTCAGACTCGAAGCGTCTCACCGACCACAGTGGTGTGATTGAGGGACTCCTCCCTTGCCTCCCGTCAGCAAGTACTGGAAAATTGTGTCCAACATGTTTCATAAAAAAAAAAAAAAAAAAAAAAACTGTCTCAACCCATTATTATAGGTCGAGAAACCAATGAACAAGTCAACAAAACGATGAGAAAGTTCTGCACTCGTGCTTTTCCAACATGGAGCAAAGAAACTAAATTATCATTTTGAACAAGATAAAAAAAAAGTAACAAGTCTGACTTCTCCTTTGGTTTTCAGTGAGACCAGATGCTAACACAGGTGGTAAAGTAACGTTTATGCAGAGCTGAATAAAGTGAAAACCTGTAACAACCTGATCCACAAGTTATCTCCTTAACTTATTTGATGCATTCACCTCTGAGAGAAAAGAGTTCACCAGATAAGGAGCTTTGTTGCTGTGCTTGCACTCTGTCCACATTATTAGAACGTAAGGTTGCAGGGATGTCAGAGGACTCACCCCTGCACCAGGCCAGCTCTGTGTGCTACATTAGTGTAGCTCACGGTGTGTGTTGCCAAAGGGAGCTGGACGGTGCAGCTGCAGAAAACAGCTGTGACACTGAGATGCTTCCGCTCACAGTCGGGACACGGAGGAATTTCTTCTCCCTCTTCCCTTGTTTGAACTCTCGTGTGACTCGTGTCTTTCTTTGCCTGACAGACCCGTGATTCACTTCACGGCCCGTGAAGTGAATTCATGTGTCTTGCACATCTGTGGAGATACGATTTCAAGAAATTACAATAATGAAAGATTTGAGATTGAGACTCCAAGGAGGTTGAACACTATTGTCCACCTGATCCTTCCACCTGATCCTAATAGTTTTCTGAGGAAGTTGAGGGAACTATTTGCTTTTTGCAGAGTGTTTGGAACTGTAGACTAAGCAGTTAGAGGAAGCCGCACCAAAATGTAATGTTAGACCCTTCCTGTCTGGTTATAGTCCCTGCGTCTCAAACTGCACGTCCCTGAATTTTTCAATACAAGCCAAGATAAATATGATGAACAGTCTCACCAGATCCAACAAATTAAAGAACTTTTTTAAAGGTCCAGTGTGTGAGATTTAGGTGAAAGGGAACTATAGGCAGAAATTTAACGTAGAATAATCCTCATGATGTTTTCACGAGTTCTTTTCATCTAAATTGTATGAATTGTGGTTTTCTTTACCCCAGAAAAGGTCCTTTATATTTAAAAACTTTATATTTACATCGAGGGGACCCTCTCGGAGGCGGCCATGTTTTTTACATTAGTCCAGACTGGACAAACTTAACACCTTTTTGAGTTTTTATGACAATTAAAGTCTAACACAGGTTCTTCTTCATGTTTGGAAGGAGAGGGTGAGGTGAGGGCTGTTCAGCTGCAACATGCAACTCCACCACTAGATGTCACTAAATTCTACACACTGAACCTTTAACTGAGCAGCAACACACACATTATCTGCACTGGGGCGTGTGAAATTAATTATCTGGTAAAATAAAAAAGTAATCCGGTGAAAACGTGCATGATGGCTCCATTACAGTGAACATCACTGAAAACTGCACAGAGAAAAATCATTACTCACTGAGAATATAATTGTTTTTTAAGTCAGAGGGTTTACATGGAGCAGAGTGGCGCAGCGGAAGCGTGCTGGGCCCATAACCCARAGGTCGATGGATCGAAACCATTCTCTGCTATCTTTTATTTTTTATTTAAACAGTTCGTGGACACTGCACTGATCGTGTTCTCCTCTTTCTTGTTTTATTTTTTATGCTCCACGTGCATTAGATTTGTCCACCGGGACTAAGTAAAGCTGTTTTGAATTAGACACGTGCTCACGAGGCAGCACAGAACTCGCAACGCATCATTTATTTCTCTTTTCAGGTTCATACGCTACACCACGTGCTCGTGTTTACACTCGGATCGACATGTGGAAACAGAGGGACGAGTTCAATTTAGACCCCGAGGTAAACTGTCGCTAGCTGCTGAGCTAACGCTAGCTGCTGAGCTAGAAAGTTGACACCCTCCCCGAAAGAAAACCACCACTGAGTCTGACTAAGCTAAAGCTAACCGCTAAGCAAGTAAAGGAAGACCATCGCTAACTGCTAAGCTACAGCTAACTGTTCATCTAAACCATAGCTAAGCTAAAGCTAACTGCTAAGCTACAGCTAACTGTTCATCTAAACCATAGAAAACCATTGCTAAGCTAAAGCTAACTGCTAAGCAAAGTAAATTCATTATGTAGATAGCGTGACAACAGCTAATTATAGATAAAGTCGGTTATAGACAGACAGGGACGAGGCTTCTTGTGCAGAACGTGCACGTGTTCAAACGCGCAGTGGTTTTAGAAAAGAAAACTTTACAAAGTTTTGATTGAGGACATGAGCATTAAGGAGGCTGATAACCGGAAATGACGCATTACGCTCATCGCAGCACGTCGCTTCTCATTCTCGCGTCCAGCGTTGCCACATGGGAAATGTAGTTCCAGGGGTTTTAATACTTTTATCATATTTAGGGGACGAGTTAAAAACAATATATAGAATTCACACTCATCATCACATCAAGTGCAAACACTGACGTTGGGTTAATACTAAATAGATTATTATAACTCCTAAAACTCTCAAAGCACGAGATTATTCATTCAAGACAATGTTCAATTCAATTTCATTTGTATATTTATTTGTAAATCATAACATAAATTATCTCAAGGCACTTCGCGTGATTAGATCAAGGCCATAAAAACTCAACAGTCCCCATAACAACGACTTGTTTGGCAATTGTAAAGAGAAGAAAACACAGATCTCCGTCAGTTCACCAGGCACTGAAATACTGCATTTTACATATTTCTTTGTATATTTGTACTTAAGACTAAATGGATTTGACAAATGTTGATACTGTGTGATGTAAATATTGTATGTAAACATTTTGCTAACGAGCAGCTTGAAATATAAAGTGAATATATATTAATTTATGAAAGGGCTGCAGTTAATATTCATTAACGACAAAATGCTAATTTCTCTGGCAATTTAGTTTAAATGACATCCTGTCATATGCTTCAGTTGGTTTTCAAAACTGTATCCATCCCCTTGATGGTTATAATCAAATGAACTGGATTTGGTATTCAGGTATTGAACCTGTGGTGTGAGGTCTATTCTGATCAGTGATATTTAACTTTCGGGAGGACGCACAACATTTCAAAGAGGAGGTTGGCACCAGTGAGCGCAGTGTTCCCTGTTGAGGCAAAACAAAGTAGAAACGGGTTGTTATAGAATTCATACAGTATTAGATTTTAAGAGAAATGAAATGTCTGAAGTACCTGTGGTGTCGTAAGGTGGTGACACCTCCACCAGATCACATCCGACAAGACTCAGACCACGACAGCCTCGGATGATCTCAACCCCCTGAATCGAGCCAAGATAAAACCAACGTATTACTATTTATTCTGGAACTTTTTTTTTTCCTCCTTCACGCAGGTAAATTACACATGTGGAGGAGGTGAAGTCGATTCTTAACGAAAGTGACAAGGATCTGTTAAAATACATTTTTTTTAAAAACAGTGAGGACAGTTTTGAAAGATTAATGGAGACATTCGTGATTAATTGAAAAGGTTTTCATGCTCCGATGTTCACAAAACACGTCACTGAAGTATCCGATGAATTACTGATGAAGGGTTTCAGGGGCAGGGTTTTCTGTGGGAGAGAGGAGCTCCCTTTTGGCTACATCTATATGTATACATGATGAAAAAGCACAATGTCTGTGGCATCCTGTTTACCTGGATGGGAGTGAGCCCTGCTATCTCCGGAGTTCCTGTTCCAGGGGCGAAGCCTGGGTCCAGAGCATCGATGTCGAAACTGAGGTACACTGGGCCGCTGCCCATCTGAGCCCTGACCTCAGCCATCAGAGGTTCCAGAGATTTGAACCAGCACTCTTCTGCTTGGACCACACGGAAACCCTGTGCAACATAGAAGAACAGGATATTAATATTCAAGATTACTATGAGAAACAAAGGGATAAACCCCTTAAGATGCATCATCTCATTGAGGGGTCACTGTGGATTCCAGTTATAGAATCTGGAAACCTTCCAGCACTTCAGCACAGATGACATGTCGCAGCAGGAAAAGCACAGGTTTACAAAGTGAAATGATTGATGGCTGGATTCCAATGGTATCTAGAAGTTTACCTGCGCTCGGCTCCACTCATACGCGTCCGGGGAGTAGCCTGAACCCCGCAGGCCGATCTGCACCACTCTCTTACAGTCCAGTAGCCCTTCCTCCACACAGCGTCGGAATGGAGTCCCATGTCCAATCTTCTCCCCAAGGACCACGTCACTGGTGTCAGCATGAGCATCGACATGGACCAGACCCACCGGACCATGCCTGACAAAGTATCACACAACAGACTCGAGGAACGATCGTAGAAAATAATGAAAATTAGGAAATAGCCAATTTTAAATTGAGGTGATAAGGCTGGTGTGCAGCACAACACTTACTTCTCAGCAACAGCTTGCAGGATTGGATATGCAATCGTGTGATCGCCACCTGCAGACACCAACACTCGCTTAACATCTGACCTTTGATATGACTTGCATTTCATGTTATGAGGCTGATTAAATGGTTAATGATTGGAGCCTGACCGAAACATTGATTGGCCGGTAACAGAGAGACTCTATCGGTATCTGTGTTTGTGTTTGCTGATGTGATTACTTTACAGAATAAAAACAATGCAGAGAGAATGTGCATTCATTCATTAATAATTATGTTTAGAGGTAAAACATCAAATACATAAACTTTAAATTTGACTGATGATTTTTTAACACATTCCCAGATGATTTGTATTTTGACTTGAAGTCGATGCTACTATAATAATAATACTACTAGTAATAATCTTTACAAGTTATCGTAATGGATTCATGTTTTTGTCTTTTTATCAATTTTGACTTTAGATTATATTATA